AAAATTGGTGAGCGCAAATAAAAAAAAAAAAAAAGATTAATATTAAAATGTATTCTACTTGATTCAATAAAAAAGTACTGTTATTAAAGTTTTTGTAAAAAGTAACTCAAAAAAATTACTTAAATAATAACGATCGCTTTTATGTTAAAAGTTAACGAAACTCAACGAAGCGTGCTCAAGAACAGCTGCTGAAAAATAAAACGTCAATAGTTTTTCGAATAATTTTTAATAATAATTTTTAAGAATAATTTTTTCGCTGAAATATTTCTTTTATACCTATAAGATTTTTATTCTAACATTTTATTTTATTTTACTAGAAATAAAATTCCTTGTTAACATTAAAAATCTATTCAAAACGTTCGTTTAAGTTTTTTATAAATACGAGTGGTTGTGCTTATCAACCGCTTTATGAAAATAAATAAAAATAAATATTATATAAAATCGCTTGTAAAAATATCAGTTTTTAATCATACAATATTAAAATTTCCAGTTTATTACTCACTGACTTTTTAAAAAGAAAAAATAATTATTTGAAAAACCTTAAATTACATATTTAAGAAAAAAAAAATCAAATATTAGCATATTTTATAATCTTTTTTAAATTTAAGTTAAAATGTTTTTTATTCGTTTAGTATAGACAAAACGTGACAAACATCTAGAAAATAAACAAATGTTTTTACATTTTAAAAAACGAAACATTCCAAAACATTTTTAAATAATAACATAAACGATTTAAAGTAGTTTTGCAGTAATTAAGTAAATTGGTGAAGTTAATGTTGATAAATATGAAAAGCAAATAAAAAGAATTTAATGACGTCAAAAATCACGTCGTGCTTATGCGTCGCGCAGTTCTTATTCATCGCAAGGCCTGGTATGCAGTATGTGCAGTAGTGCCATCATGTTGAAGTTTCCATGGTTTATCATTGAGCATAAGCAGGTCAATTTATGGAATTAAGTTGTTTTCCAGTACTTCTATGTAATTCTGGAGTTGATTCTTCTGGTGTATGTTCGGCATATACCAACACCTTTGTAATTGAAGCATGACCAGATTCCTATCGAGTCTCCTCCACTTTGTACAGTCAGTCTAATGTACCTGGCGTAATACTTTTCATGAGCCATTCTTTTGACTGTTATGTTAGATTTGCGATTGATAAGCTCAAAGATACTCTCATCACTCCACATAATGTTTTCCTATTGTTCTATTGTCCAATACCTTCTTTGACGACACCATTTTAGTCTCCTTTGTTTAACATATGGACGCAGAAGTGGTTTCTTCAAAGCAGTGTAGACTCCAATCCTGTATTTAATAAGTATTCAGCGAACTGTGCTTTGAGAAATAGATGTATTTTGCGTTGTATTGAATTCTGTGGTTGACTCTTTGTAACTAATTCTTGGATTAGCTCTGACAGCTCTAAAATGAACACTATCGTCCATTCTGGTGGTTGACAAGGGTCTACCTGGCCTGGTTTTCTCGCTGGCACCACCAGTGTGAAGAAAGTTTTGTTTCGTTGTCCGAACGCATTTCTCAGAAACTCCAATTAACTTGGCAATTTTTCTATTACTTTTGGTTCCTTCTTTGATGTGCGCAATAATTTGCCATCTTTCACCTTGAGTTTTACCTTGAGTGATATCTTTTGCCCATTTTTCGCGTCTTTTTAGTGCAAAACTAACTTGACTTTTGTTTATTTATTAAATAATGATTAACTAATTCCAGGTGAGTCATATTTATATAAGGTTTTTTGTCAAAATCAATTAATTTAGGCCTATTAATGGGAAATATGGGGAAAAACTACTAATTAACTATCAATTAACAAGATATAAGACTTTTTTGATTATGCGTAAATTTATGAACAAAATAAAATCAAGCTTATTAATTAACTTTTTTGTGATAATCGGTATAGAATAAGTAATAAACATCCTGTAAAAAAAATTAAGGTACTCTATAATAGAGTTTCACTTCCTCTTGTAAATTATATATCAAACATAGCGGTAGTACTTTTATTTTATTTTTATTTTGAGTATTTTCTTACATATATGAAATAAAAATGAATGCGTCTAAATTTATGAAAGCACCTGTATATATATATATATATATATATATATATATATATATATATATATATATATATATATATATATATATATATATATATTTTCAATATTATTTTGCGTTAAGTGTAAGGATTCTTTTGCGATAAATAAATACTGAATTGCCCTTGAGATTATTATAAATGTGGGTTTTTCTTCTGATTGAGACTGTGAGTCAATTTTTTTTCTTGACCTTGTTTAAGACAATGAAGATTATTTTACAATTATAGGGACTGTTTGTTGATTGATATATGGAATGTATTGTATTATATAATTTGTATAAAATTGTATAATATTGTATAAAATTTAAGGCTTATGCCCATGCGCCATGTTTTAGTTTAAAAAAGGGCTGATTAAAACTTTTTAACTTTATGATTGAGAAAAAAACTATAAATATTTTTTTTGTTTTTAATTTCTAGAATTTGTTCATCTTATAGAAATTATTGATTTTAAAAAATGGTCCGTTATCTGCTAAAAACTTTTACTTTTTTTTTTTATTTGGTTGAACTTTTTATTTAGTGTTGTATTAGATTCATATTTGATTATTTTTATTTTATTTTGGTATATATATAAATTTTATATAAATAGTTTATATAAATAGTAAGGATTTTTATTTTATATAAATAGTAAGGATTTTTTTGCGATAAATAATTGCCCTTGGGAATATTTTTAATGTTTAAAATTAGGATTTTATTCTGATTTGGACTATGAGTCAATTTTTTTTTGGGAATCTTTTTTAAGACAATGAAGATTCTTTTACAATTATAGGGACTGTTTGTTGATTGATATGAGAAATGTATTGCATTATATAAGTATGTCTAAGTACCATATTTAAATTTAGAAAAAAGCTGCTTAAATCTTTTGAACTTTATGATTGAGAAAGGACCTGTTAATAGTTTTTTTTCTTTTTAATTTTTAGAATTTTTTAATCTTTTATTAGTTATTGATGTAATAAAATGGTTCGATATCAGCTAAAATCATTTACTTTTGTTTTTATTGGATGAACTTTTTATTAAGTGCTGTATTATATTTATAGTTAAATATTAAATTTATTTTTTAGTTTTATAAGTATAACTTATAACTATCAATTAATAGTATGAATTAGTCTATTATTGTTTAATAGTCTATGAAGCAAAATAGCTTACTATTAAGCAATTCTATTAATTATATTCAAAATATGAGGTAATATAAACGATTTCTATTTATTACATAAATAAGCTTTTTTTTTAATTATTTTGTATAAAATGAAACCAACCCTCTGCATTAAGAAATATGAGGTCTGCATTATTTTGCCTACCTCATACATTTTCAGGGTAGCTATGCCCTAATGCTGAACCAAATCTGTTGGCTAGATGCAACTGATTATGTTATAGTAAATGATCGTTTTCAGTGTATATATCCTATGTTATTGTTTCAGTAGTATTTATGCTTGTAATATATATATATGGATTGTTTTACGCTAAGTCCAAAGATTGTTTTGCATTAAATAAGAAATGAATTGCCCTTAGGACATTTTTGAACGTTTGAAATTAGATTTTTCTTCTGATTGGGACTGTGAGTCAGTTTTTTTCCGAGACTGATTTAGGACAATTAATATTCTTTTACATTTATAGGGACTCTTTGTTGAATTATATGAGGAATGTATTGTATTATATAAGTATAAAATTTAAGGCTAATGCCCAAGGGCCATGTTTTTGTTTAGAAAAGGGCTGCTTAACACTTTTAATTTTTATGATTGAGAAAAGAACTGTAAATAATTTTTTTTGATTTATTTTTCTAAAATTTTTTCATCTTATAGAAATTATTGATTTTAAAAAATGGTTCGATATCTGCTAAAAACTTTAACTTTATTTTTTTATTGGGTTGAACTTTTTATTTAGTGCTGTATTAAGTTCAAAGTTGTATATTTTTATTTATTTTTGGTATATATATAAATTTTATATATAAGTTTAAATAATAAATTCATTTTATATATATATATATATATATATATATATATATATATATATATATATATATATATATATATATATATATATATATATATTCAAGATTATTTTGCGCTAAGTGTAAGGATTCTTTTGCGATAAATAAATACTAAATTGCCCTTGGCATTATTATTAATGTGGGTTTTTATTTAGGTTGGGACTGTGAGTAAAGTTTTTTTCTGGACCTTTTTTAAGACAATGAAGCTTATTTTACAATTATAGGGACTGTTTGTTAATTGATATGAGGAATGTATTGTATTATATAAGTATAAAATTTAAGGCTCATGCCTATGCGCCATGTTTTTGTTTAGAAAAGGGCTGATTAAAACTTTTTAACTTTGTGATTGAGAAAAGAACTATAAATATTTTTTTTTTGTTTTTAATTTCTAGAATTTGATCATCTTATAGAAATTATTGATTTTAAAAAATGGTCCGATTTCTGCTAAAAACTTTTACTTTTTTTTTTTATTTTGTTAAACTTTTTATTTAGTGTTATATTAAATTCATATTTGATAATTTTTATTTATTTTTGGTATATATAGAATATTTATATATTAAGTTAAATAATAACTTTATTTTATATAATATATATATTTTTTTTTCAGTATAATTTTGTGCTAAGTAAAAGGTTTTTTTTGCGATAAATAATTACTTAATTACCCTTGGGAATATTTTAAATGTTTTAAATTATGTTTTTATTCTGATTTGGATTATGAGTCAATTTTTTTTTGGAACCTTTTTTAAGAATATGAAGATTATTTTACAATTATAGGGACTGTTTGTTGATTGATATGAGGTCTGTATTGCATTATTTAAGTATGCCTAAGTGCCATGTTTACATTTAGAAAAGGGCTGCTTAAATTTTTGAACTTTATGATTGACAAAGGACCTGTGAATAATTTTTTTTTTGTTTTTATTTTTTAGAATTTGTTATTTTTTCGGAAGTTGTTGATGTAAAAAAATGGTTCGATATCAGCTAAAATGGTTACTTTTTTTTTTATTGGCTTGAACTTTTTATTAAGTGCTGTATTATATTTATAGTTAAATTTTAAATTTATTTTTTTGTTTTATAAGTATATCTTATTACTATTAGTTTATACCATGAATTAGTCTAATATGGTTTAATGTTCTATGAAGCAAAATAGCTTACTATTAGGCAATTATATTAATTATATTCAAAATATGAGGTAATATAACTGAAATACTATTTTTTACATAAATAAGCTTTTTTTTTAATAATTTTTTTGTATAAAATGAAACCAACCCTCTGCATTAGGAAATATGAAGTCTGCATTACTTTTTTTATATATAAGTTAAATAATAAATTGATTTGATATATATATATATATATATATTTTTTCAAGATTATTTTGCGCTAAGTGTAAGGATCCTTTTGCGATAAATAAATACTAAGTTGCCCTTGGGATTATTATAAATGTGGGTTTTTATTTTGATTGGGACTGTGAGTCATTTTTTTTTCTGGACCTGTTTTTAAGACAATGAAGCTTATTTTACAATTATAGGGACTGTTTGTTGATTGATATGGGGAATGTATTGTATTATATAAGTATAAACTTTAAGGCTCATGCCTATGCGTCATGTTATTGTTTAGAAAAGGGCTGCTTAAAACTTTTTAACTTTATGATTGAGAAAAGAACTATAAATAATTTTTTTATGTTTTTAATTTCTAGAATTTGTTCATCTTATAGAATTTATTGATTTTAAAAAATGGTCTAATTTCTGCTAAAAACTTTTACTTTTTTTTAATTATGTTAAACTTTTTATTTAGTGTTGTATTAAACTTATATTTGATTGTTTTTATTTATTTTTGGTATATATAGAAGTTTTATATACTAAGTTAAATAATAACTTTATTTTATATAATATATATTTTTTTTTTTTAGTATTTTTTTGTGCTAAGTGTAATGTATTTTTTGCGATAAATAATTACTGAATTGCCCTTTGGAATATTTTTAATGTTTAAAATTGGGTTTTTATTCTGATTTGGAATATGAGTCAATTTTTTTTTGGGAAGCTTTTTTAAGACAATGAAGATTCTTTTACAATTATAGGGACTGTTTGTTGATTGATATGAGGAATGTATTGCATTATATAAGTATGTCTAAGTGCCATGTTTAGATTTAGAAAAAAGCTGCTTTAATCTTTTGAACTTTATAATTGAGAAAGGACCTGTTAATAGTTTTTTATTCTTTTTAATTTTTAGACTTTTTTAATCTTTTATTAGTTATTGATGTAATAAAATGGTTTGATATCAGCTAAAATGGTTACTTCTATTTTTATTGGCTTGAACTTTTCATTAATTGCTTTATTATATTTATAGTTAAATATTAAATTTATTTTTGAGTTTTATTAGTATAACTTATTACAGTTAGTTAATACTATGAATTAGTCTATTATTGTTTAATGTTCTATGGAGCAAAATAGCTTACTATTAGGCAATTATATTAATTATATTCAAAATATGAGGTAATATAACGGATTTCTATTTTTTACATAAATAAACTTTTTTTTTAATAATTTTTTTTCTATAAAATGAAACCAACCCTCTATATTAGGAAATATGAGGTCTGCATTACTTTGCTTACCACATACATTTTCAGGTTAGCTATGCCCTTATGCTGAATTAAATCTGTTGGCTAGATGCAACTGATTATGTTATAGTAAATGATCGATTTCAGTGTATATATCCTGAGTTATTGTTTCAGTAGTATTTATGCTTGTAAATTATATATATGGATTGTTTTGCGCTAAGTCTAAAGATTGTTTTGCAATAAATTAGAACTGAATTGCCCTTAGGACATTTTTGAATGTTTGAAATTAGGTTTTTCTTTTGATTGGGACTGTGAGTCAGTTTTTTTCTGAGACTGATTTAGGACAATTTTTTTTCTTTTACATTTATAGGGACTGTTTGTTGATTGATTTGAGGAATGTATTGTATTATATAAGTATAAAATTTAAGGCTAATACCCAAGCTCCATGTTTAAGTTTAGAAAAGAGCTGCTTAACACTTTTAACTTTTATTATTGAAGAAAGAACTGTAAATAATTTTTTTTGTTTTTAATTTCTGGAATTTGTTTATCTTATAGACGTTATTGATTTTAAAAAATGGTTCGATATCTGCTAATAACTTTCACTTTATTTTTTTATTGGGTTAAACTTTTTATTTAGTGCTGTATTAAATTCATAGTTGAATATTTTTATTTATTTTTGGTATATATATAAATTTTAAAGGTTTGAATAATAAATTCATTTAATATATATATCTCTTTTTTTTTTTCAAGATTATTTTCCGCTAAGTGTAAGGAATCTTTGGCGATAAATAAATACTAAATTGCCCTTAGGATTATTATAAATGTGGATTTTTCTTCTGATTGGGAATGTGAGTCAATTTTTTTTCTGGACCTTTTTTAAGACAATGAAGATTCTTTTACAGTTATAGGGACTGTTTGTTGATTGATATGAGGAATGTATTGCTTTATATGAGTATGTCTGAGTGTCATGTTTAGATTTAGAAAAGAGCTGCTTAAATCTTTTGAATTTTATAATTATGAAAGGACCAGTTAATAGTTTATTTTTCTTTTTACTTTTTAGAGTTTTTTAATCTTTTATAAGTTATTAATGTAAGAAAATGGTTTGATATCAGCTAAATTGGTTACTTTTATTTTTATTGGCTTGAACTTTTTATTAAGTGCTGTATTTTATTTATGGTTAAATATTAAATTTATTTTTTAGTTTTATAAGTATAACTTATTACTATTAGTTAATACTATGAATTAGTCTATTATTCTTTAATTTTCTATGAAGCAAAATAGCTTACTATTAGGCAATTATGTTAATTATATTCAAAATATGAGGTAATATAACCGATTTCTATTTTTTACATAAATAAGCTTTTTTTTAAATAATTTTTTTGTATACAATGGAACCAACTCTATGCATTAGGAAATATGAGGTCTGCATTACTTTGCCTACCACATTCATTTTAAGGTTAGCTATGCCCTAATGCTGAACCAAATCTGTTGGCTAGATGCCATTGATTATGTTATAGTAAGTGATTGTTTTCAGTGTATATATATCCTGAGTTATTGTTTCAGTAGTATTTATGTTTTGAAATTATATATATGGATTGTTTTGCACTAAGTCTAAAGATTCTTTTGCAATAAATGAGAACTGAATTGCCCCTAGGATATTTTTGAAATGTCAGAAAGGCAATCACTATTTTAAATAATAAATTCATTTTATATTTGTATATATATATATATATGTTTTTTTTTTTCAAGATTATTTTGCGCAATGTGTAAGGATACTTTTGCGCTATGTATAAGGATACTATAGCCTTTGGGATTATTATAAATGTGGGTTTTTATTTTGATTGGGACTGTGAGTCAGTTTCTTTTCTAGCCTGTTTTTAAGACAATGAAGATTCTTTTTCAATTATAGGGACTGTTTGTTGATTGATGTAAGGAATCTATTGTATTATATAAGTATAAAATTTAATGGTTATGTCCATGCGCCATGTTTTAGTTTAGCAAAGGGCTGCTTAAAACTTTTTAACTTTATGATTGAGGAAAGAACAATAAATAATTTTTTTTTGTTTTTAGTTTCTAAAATTTGTTTATCTTATAGAAAATATTGATTTTAAAAAATAGTCCGATATCTGCTAAAAACTTTTTTTATTTTTTTTTGTTTTGTTAAACTTTTTATTTAGTGTTGTATTAAATTTATATTAGATTATTTTTATTTATTTTTAGTATATATATAAATTATATATATAAAGTTAAATAATAACTTTATTTTATATAATATATATATATATACATTTTTTTTCAGGACTATTTTGTGCTAAGTGTAAGGTTTTTTTTGCGATAAATAGTTACTGATTTGCCCTTGGGAATATTTTAAATGTTTAAAATTGGGTTTTTATTCTGATTTGGACTATGAGTCAATTTTTTTTCGGGAATCTTTTTTAAGACAATGAAGATTCTTTTACAATTATAGGGACTGTTTGTTGTTTAATGTAAGGAATGTATTGTATTATATAAGTATAAAATTTAAGGCTGATGCCCAAGCGCCATGTCTTAGTTTAGAAAAGGGCTGCTTAACACTTTTAAATTTTATACTTGAGGAAAAAACTGTAAATAATTTATTTTGTTTTCAATTTCTGGAATTTGTATATCTTTTAGAATTAATTGATTTTAAGAAATGGTTCGATATCTGCTAATAATTTTTACTTTATTTTTTATTGGGTTTAACTTTTTATTTAGTGCTGTATTAAATTTATAGTTGAATATTTATATTCATTTTTGTTATATATATAAATTTTATATATAAGTTTAAATAATAAATTCTTTTTATATATATATATATATATTTTTTTTAAGATTATTTTGCGCTAAGTGTAAGGATTCTTTTGCGATAAATAAATACTGAATTGCCCTTATTTTTTTAAATGTGATATTTTCTTCTGATTAAGACTGTGAGTCAATTTTTTTTACAGCCCTTTTTTAAGACAATGAAGATTCTTTTACAATTATAGGGACTGTTTGTTGATTGATATGAGGAATGTATTGCATTATAGTAAATGATTGTTTTCAGTGTATATATCCTGAGTTATTGTTTCTGTAGTATTTATTCTTGTAAAGTATATATATGGATTGTTTAGCTTAAAGTCTAAAGATTGTTTTGCAATAAATAAGAATTGAATTGCCCTTAGGACATTTTTGAACGTTTGAAAGTTAGGTTTTTTCTTCTAATTGGGACAGTGAGTCAGTTTTTTTCTAAGACTGGTGTAGGACAATAAATATGCTTTTACATTTATAGGGACTGATTGTTGATTGATTTGAGGAACGTATTGTATTATATAAGTATAAAATTTAAGGCTATTGCCCAAACACCATTTTTTAGTTTTGAAAAGGGCTGCTTAAAACTTTTAAACTCTATGATCAAGGAAAGAACTATAAATAATTTTTTTTGTTTTCATTCTCTAAAATTTGTTCATCTTATAGAAATTATTAATTTTAAAAAATGGTTCGATATCAGCTAAAAACTTTTACTTTTTTATTGTGTTGAACTTTTTATTTAGTGCTGTATTAAATTTATAGTTGAATATTTTATTTATTTTTAATGAAGCTTATATTACAAATATAGGGACTGTTTGTTGATTGATATGAGAAATGTATTTTATTATATAAGTATAAAATTTTAGGTTCATGCCTATGCGCCATGTTTTTGTTTAGAAAAGGGCTGCTTAAAACTATTTTGATTGGGACTGTGAGTCAATTTTTTTTCTGGACATTTTTTAAGACAATAAAGATTCTTTTACAATTATAGGGACTGTTTGTTGAATCATATGAGGAATGTATTGCATTATATATGTATATATGTAATATGTATATGTGTATATATAATATGTGTATATATATATGTATATATATGTATATATATGTGTATATATATGTATATATTTTTGTATATATATATATATGTGTATATATAATATGTATATATGTATATATGTAAATATGTAAGTTCAAATTTAATGCCTAACTGCCATGTTTAGATTTAGAAAAGAGCTGCTTAAATCTTTTGAACTTTATAATTTAAAAAGGACCTGTTGATAATTTTTTTTTCTTTCTAATTTTTAGAATTTGTTAATCTATTGGAAGTTATTAATGTAAGGAAATGGTTCGATATCAGCTAAAATGGTTACTTTTATTTTTATTGGCTTGAACTTTTTGTTAAATGCTGTATTATATTTATAGTTAAAAATTAAATTTATTTTTTTGTTTTTTAAGTATAACTTATTACTATTAGTTAATACCATGAATTAGTCTATTATTGTTTAATGTTCTATGAAGCAAAATAGCTAACTATTAGGCAATTATATTAATTATATTCAAAATATGAGGTAATATAACGGATTTCTATTTTTTACATAAATAAACTTTTTTTTTATTAATTTTTTTTCTATAAAATGAAACCAACCCTCTATATTAGGAAATATGAGGTCTGCATTACTTTGCTTACCACATACATTTTCAGGTTAGCTATGCCCTTATGCTGAATTAAATCTGTTGGCTAGATGCAACTGATTATGTTATAGTAAATGATCGATTTCAGTGTATATATCCTGAGTTATTGTTTCAGTAGTATTTATGCTTGTAAATTATATATATGGATTGTTTTGCGCTAAGTCTAAAGATTGTTTTGCAATAAATTAGAACTGAATTGCCCTTAGGACATTTTTGAATGTTTGAAATTAGGTTTTTCTTTTGATTGGGACTGTGAGTCAGTTTTTTTCTGAGACTGATTTAGGACAATTTTTTTTCTTTTACCTTTATAGGGACTGTTTGTTGATTGATTTGAGGAATGTATTGTATTATATAAGTATAAAATTTAAGGCTAATACCCAAGCTCCATGTTTAAGTTTAGAAAAGAGCTGCTTAACACTTTTAACTTTTATTATTGAAGAAAGAACTGTAAATAATTTTTTTTGTTTTTAATTTCTGGAATTTGTTTATCTTATAGACGTTATTGATTTTAAAAAATGGTTCGATATCTGCTAATAACTTTCACTTTATTTTTTTATTGGGTTAAACTTTTTATTTAGTGCTGTATTAAATTCATAGTTGAATATTTTTATTTATTTTTGGTATATATATAAATTTTAAAGGTTTGAATAATAAATTCATTTAATATATATATCTCTTTTTTTTTTTCAAGATTATTTTCCGCTAAGTGTAAGGAATCTTTGGCGATAAATAAATACTAAATTGCCCTTAGGATTATTATAAATGTGGATTTTTCTTCTGATTGGGAATGTGAGTCAATTTTTTTTCTGGACCTTTTTTAAGACAATGAAGATTCTTTTACAGTTATAGGGACTGTTTGTTGATTGATATGAGGAATGTATTGCTTTATATGAGTATGTCTGAGTGCCATGTTTAGATTTAGAAAAGAGCTGCTTAAATCTTTTGAATTTTATAATTATGAAAGGACCAGTTAATAGTTTATTTTTCTTTTTACTTTTTAGAGTTTTTTAATCTTTTATAAGTTATTAATGTAAGAAAATGGTTTGATATCAGCTAAATTGGTTACTTTTATTTTTATTGGCTTGAACTTTTTATTAAGTGCTGTATTTTATTTATGGTTAAATATTAAATTTATTTTTTAGTTTTATAAGTATAACTTATTACTATTAGTTAATACTATGAATTAGTCTATTATTCTTTAATTTTCTATGAAGCAAAATAGCTTACTATTAGGCAATTATGTTAATTATATTCAAAATATGAGGTAATATAACCGATTTCTATTTTTTACATAAATAAGCTTTTTTTTAAATAATTTTTTTGTATACAATGGAACCAACTCTATGCATTAGGAAATATGAGGTCTGCATTACTTTGCCTACCACATTCATTTTAAGGTTAGCTATGCCCTAATGCTGAACCAAATCTGTTGGCTAGATGCCATTGATTATGTTATAGTAAGTGATTGTTTTCAGTGTATATATATCCTGAGTTATTGTTTCAGTAGTATTTATGTTTTGAAATTATATATATGGATTGTTTTGCGCTAAGTCTAAAGATTGTTTTGCAATAAATGAGAACTGAATTGCCCCTAGGATATTTTTGAAATGTCAGAAAGGCAATCACTATTTTAAATAATAAATTCATTTTATATTTGTATATATATATATATATGTTTTTTTTTTTCAAGATTATTTTGCGCAATGTGTAAGGATACTTTTGCGCTATGTATAAGGATACTATAGCCTTTGGGATTATTATAAATGTGGGTTTTTATTTTGATTGGGACTGTGAGTCAGTTTCTTTTCTAGCCTGTTTTTAAGACAATGAAGATTCTTTTTCAATTATAGGGACTGTTTGTTGATTGATGTAAGGAATCTATTGTATTATATAAGTATAAAATTTAATGGTTATGTCCATGCGCCATGTTTTAGTTTAGCAAAGGGCTGCTTAAAACTTTTTAACTTTATGATTGAGGAAAGAACAATAAATAATTTTTTTTTGTTTTTAGTTTCTAAAATTTGTTTATCTTATAGAAAATATTGATTTTAAAAAATAGTCCGATATCTGCTAAAAACTTTTTTTATTTTTTTTTGTTTTGTTAAACTTTTTATTTAGTGTTGTATTAAATTTATATTAGATTATTTTTATTTATTTTTAGTATATATATAAATTATATATATAAAGTTAAATAATAACTTTATTTTATATAATATATATATATATACATTTTTTTTCAGGACTATTTTGTGCTAAGTGTAAGGTTTTTTTTGCGATAAATAGTTACTGATTTGCCCTTGGGAATATTTTAAATGTTTAAAATTGGGTTTTTATTCTGATTTGGACTATGAGTCAATTTTTTTTCGGGAATCTTTTTTAAGACAATGAAGATTCTTTTACAATTATAGGGACTGTTTGTTGTTTAATGTAAGGAATGTATTGTATTATATAAGTATAAAATTTAAGGCTGATGCCCAAGCGCCATGTCTTAGTTTAGAAAAGGGCTGCTTAACACTTTTAAATTTTATACTTGAGGAAAAAACTGTAAATAATTTATTTTGTTTTCAATTTCTGGAATTTGTATATCTTTTAGAATTAATTGATTTTAAGAAATGGTTCGATATCTGCTAATAATTTTTACTTTATTTTTTATTGGGTTTAACTTTTTATTTAGTGCTGTATTAAATTTATAGTTGAATATTTATATTCATTTTTGTTATATATATAAATTTTATATATAAGTTTAAATAATAAATTCTTTTTATATATATATATATATATTTTTTTTAAGATTATTTTGCGCTAAGTGTAAGGATTCTTTTGCGATAAATAAATACTGAATTGCCCTTATTTTTTTAAATGTGATATTTTCTTCTGATTAAGACTGTGAGTCAATTTTTTTTACAGCCCTTTTTTAAGACAATGAAGATTCTTTTACAATTATAGGGACTGTTTGTTGATTGATATGAGGAATGTATTGCATTATAGTAAATGATTGTTTTCAGTGTATATATCCTGAGTTATTGTTTCTGTAGTATTTATTCTTGTAAAGTATATATATGGATTGTTTAGCTTAAAGTCTAAAGATTGTTTTGCAATAAATAAGAATTGAATTGCCCTTAGGACATTTTTGAACGTTTGAAAGTTAGGTTTTTTCTTCTAATTGGGACAGTGAGTCAGTTTTTTTCTAAGACTGGTGTAGGACAATAAATATGCTTTTACATTTATAGGGACTGATTGTTGATTGATTTGAGGAACGTATTGTATTATATAAGTATAAAATTTAAGGCTATTGCCCAAACACCATTTTTTAGTTTTGAAAAGGGCTGCTTAAAACTTTTAAACTCTATGATCAAGGAAAGAACTATAAATAATTTTTTTTGTTTTCATTCTCTAAAATTTGTTCATCTTATAGAAATTATTAATTTTAAAAAATGGTTCGATATCAGCTAAAAACTTTTACTTTTTTATTGTGTTGAACTTTTTATTTAGTGCTGTATTAAATTTATAGTTGAATATTTTATTTATTTTTAATGAAGCTTATATTACAAATATAGGGACTGTTTGTTGATTGATATGAGAAATGTATTTTATTATATAAGTATAAAATTTTAGGTTCATGCCTATGCGCCATGTTTTTGTTTAGAAAAGGGCTGCTTAAAACTATTTTGATTGGGACTGTGAGTCAATTTTTTTTCTGGACATTTTTTAAGACAATAAAGATTCTTTTACAATTATAGGGACTGTTTGTTGAATCATATGAGGAATGTATTGCATTATATATGTATATATGTAATATGTATATGTGTATATATAATATGTGTATATATATATGTATATATATGTATATATATGTGTATATATATGTATATATTTTTGTATATATATATATATGTGTATATATAATATGTATATATGTATATATGTAAATATGTAAGTTCAAATTTAATGCCTAACTGCCATGTTTAGATTTAGAAAAGAGCTGCTTAAATCTTTTGAACTTTATAATTTAAAAAGGACCTGTTGATAATTTTTTTTTCTTTCTAATTTTTAGAATTTGTTAATCTATTGGAAGTTATTAATGTAAGGAAATGGTTCGATATCAGCTAAAATGGTTACTTTTATTTTTATTGGCTTGAACTTTTTGTTAAATGCTGTATTATATTTATAGTTAAAAATTAAATTTATTTTTTTGTTTTTAAGTATAACTTATTACTATTAGTTAATACCATGAATAAGTAAATATTGTTTAATGTTCTATGAAGCAAAATAGCTAACTATTAGGCAATTATATTAATTATATTCAAAATATGAGGTAATATAACAGATTTCTATTTTTTACATAAATAAACTTTTTTTTTAATAATTTTTTTGTATAAAATGAAACCAACCCTCTGCATTAGGAAATATGAGGTCTGCATTACTTCGCCTACCACATACATTTTTTGGTTAGCTATGCCCTAATGCTGAACCAAATCTGTTGGCTAGATGCAACTGATTATGTTATAGTAAATGATCGATTTCAGTGTATATATCCTGAGTTATTGTTTCAGTAGTATTTATGCTTGTTAATTATATATATGGATCGTTTTGCGCTAAGTCTAAAGATTGTTTTGCAATAAATAAGAACTGCATTGCCCTTAGGACATTTTCAAATGTTTAAAATTAGGTTTTACTTCTGATTGGGACTGTGAGTCAGTTTTTTTCTGAGACTGATTTAGGACAATATTTATTCTTTTACCTTTATAGGGACTGTTTGTTGATTGATTTAAGGAATATATTGTATTATATAAGTATAAAATTTAAGTCTAATACCCAAGCGCCATGTTTAAGTTTAGAAAAGGGCTGCTTAACACTTTTAACTTTTATGATTGAGGAAAGAACTGTAAATAATTTTTTTTGTTTTTAATTTCTGGAATTTGTTTATCTTATAAACGTTATTGATTTTCAAAAATGGTTCGATATCTGCTAATAACTTTCACTTTATTTTTTTATTGGGTTGAACCTTTTATTTAGTGCTGTATTAAATTCATAGTTGAATATTTTTATTTATTTTTGGTATATATATAAATTTTATATATAAGTTTAAATAATAAATTCATTATATATATATATATATATATATATATATTTTTTTTTTTTTCAAGATTTTTTTGCGCTAAGTGTAAGGAATCTTTTGCGATAAAGAAATACTAAATTGCCCTTAGGATTATTATAAATGTGGGTTTTTCTTCTGATTGGGAATGTGAGTCAATTTTTTTTCTGGACCTTTTTTAAGACAATGAAGATTCTTTTACAATTATAGGGACTGTTTGTTGATTGATATGAGGAATGTATTGCTTTATATAAGTATGTCTGAGTGCCATGTTTAGATTTAGAAAAGAGCTGCTTAAATCTTTTGAACTTTATAATTAAGAAATGACCAGTTAATCGTTTTTTTTTCTTTTTACTTTTTAGAGTTTTTTAATCTTTTATAAGTTATTAATGTAAGAAAATGGTTCGATATCAGCTAAATTGGTTACTTTTATTTTTATTGGCTTGAACTTTTTATTAAGTGCTGTATTATATTTATAGTTAAATATTAAATTTATTATTTTAGTTTTATAAGTATAACTTATTACTATTAGTTAATACTATGAATTAATCTATTATTCTTTAATGTTCTATGAAGCAAAATAGCTTACTATTAGGCAATTATGTTAATTATATTCAAAATATGAGGTAATATAACCGATTTCTATTTTTTACATAATTAAGCTTTTTTTTTAATTATTTTTTTGTATTCAATGGAACCAAATCTCTGCATTAGGAAATATGAGGTCTGCATTACTTTGCCTACCACATACATTTTAAGGTTATCTATGCCCTAATGCTGAACCAAATCTGTTGGCTAGATGCAATTGATTATGTTATAGTAGTTGATTGTTTTCAGTGTATATATATCCTGAGTTATTGTTTCAGTAGTATTTATGTTTTGAAATTATATATATGGATTGTTTTGCGCTAAGTCTAAAGATTGTTTTGCAATAAATGAGAACTGAATTGCCCCTAGGATATTTTTGAAATGTCAGAAGGGCAATTACTAATTTAAATAATAAATTCATTTTATATTTATATATATTTATATATGTTTTTTTTTTTTCAAGATTATTTTGCGCTAAGTGTAAGGATTCTTTTGCGATAAATAAATACTGCCTTTGGGATTATTATAAATGTGGGTTTTTATTTTCATTGGGACTGTGAGTCAGTTTCTTTTCTAGTCTGTTTTTAAGACAATGAAGATTCTTTTACAGTTATAGGGACTGTTTGTTGATTGATATGAGGAATGTATTGTATTATATAAGTATAAAATTTAATGGTTATGTCCATGCGCCATGTTTTAGTTTAGAATAGGGCTGCTTAAAACTTTTTAACTTTATGATTGAGAAAAGATCTGTAAATAATTTTTTTTGTTTTTAATTTCTGGAATTTGTTTATCTTATAGAAATAATTGATTTAAAAAAATGGTTCGATATCTGCTAATAACTTTTACTTTATTTTTTTATTGGGTTGAACTTTTTATTTAGTGCTGTATTAAATTCATAGTTGAATATTTTAATTTATTTTTGGTATATATATAAATTTTATATATAAGTTTAAATAATAAATTCATTTTATATATATATATATTTTTTTTTTTTTAAGATTATTTTGGGCTAAGTGTAAGGATTCTTTTGCGATAAATAAATACTAAATTGCCCTTGGGATTATTATAACTGTGGGTTTTTATTTTGATTGGGACTGTGAGTCAAGTTTTTTTCTAGACTTTTTTTAAGACAATAAAGCTTATTTTACAATTATAGGGACTGTTTGTTAATTGATATGAGGAATGTATTGTATTTTATAAGTATAAAATTTAAGGCTCATGTCTATGCGCCATGTTTTTGTTTAGAAATGGGCTGCTTAAAACTTTTTAACTTTATGATTGAGAAAAGAACTTTAAATAATTTTTTTTTGTTTTTATTTTCTAGAATTTGTTCATCTTATAGAATTTATTGATATTAAAAAATGGTCTGATTTCTGCTAAAAACTTTTACTTTTTTTTTTTATTTTGTTAAACTTTTTATTTAGTGTTGTATTAAATTCATATTTGATTATTTTCATTTATTTTTGGTATATATTTAAATTTTATATATTAAGTTAAATAATAACTTTATTTGATTTAATATATATATATATATATTTTTTTTTCAGTATTATTTTGTGCTAAGTGTAAGGTTTTTTTTGCGATAAATACTTACTGAAATGCCCTTGGGAATACTTTAAATGTTTTAAATTGGGTTTTTAATCTGATTTGGACTATGAGTCAATTTTTTTTTGGGACCTTTTTCAAGAATATGAAGATTCTTTTACAATTATAGGGACTGTTTGTTAATTGATATGAGGTCTGTATTGCATTATATAAGTATGACTAAGTGCCATGTTTAGATTTAGAAAAGAGCTGCTTAAATCTTTTGATTTTTATAATTGAGAAAGGACCTGTTAAAAGTTTTTTTTTTCTTTTCAATTTTTAGAGTTTTTTAATCTTTTATAAGTTGTTGATGTAAGAAAATGGTTCGATATTAGCTAAAATGGATACTTTTATTTTTATTGGTTTGAACTTTTTATTAAGTGCTGTATTATATTTATAGCTAAATATTAAATTTATTTTTTAGTTTTATAAGTATAACTTATTAATATCAATTAATAGTATGAATTAGTCTATTATTGTTAAATAGTCTATGAAGCAAAGTAGCTTACTATTGGGCAATTGTATTAGTTATATTCAAAATAGAAGGTATTATAACTAATTTCTATATTTTACATATGTTAGCTTTTTTTTAAGTAATTTTTCTGTATAAAATATAAACAGCCCTCTGCATTAGGAAATATTAAGTCTGCAATACTTTGCCTACCACATACATTTTGAGGTTAGCTATGCCCTAATGCTGAACCAAGTCTGTTGACTAGAAGCAACTGATTATGTTAAAGTAAATTTTTTTTTTCAGTGTATATCTCCAGAGTTATTGTTTCAGTAGTATTTATGCTTGTTAATTATATATATGGATTGTTTTGCGCAAAGTCTAATGTTTGTTTTGCAATAAATAAGAACTGAATTGCCCTTAGGACATTTTTGAACGTTTGAAAGTTAGGTTTTTCTTCTAATTGGGACTGTGAGTCAGTTTTTTTCTAAGACTGATTTAGGACAATAAATAATCTTTTACATTTATAGGGACTGATTGTTGATTGATTTGAGGAATGTATTGTATTATATAAGTATAAATTTAAGGCTATTGCCCAAGCACCATTTTTTAGTTTAGAAAAGGGCTGCTTAAAACTTTTAAACTATATGATCGAAGAAAGAACTGTAAATAATTTTTTTTGTTTTAATTCTCTAAAATTTGTTCATCTTATTGAAATTATTGATTTTAAAAAATGGTTCGATATCTGCTAAAAACTTTTACTTTGTTTTTTATTGTGTTGAACTTTTTATTTAGTGCTGTATTAAATTTATAGTTGAATATTTTTATTTCTTTTTAATGAAGCTTATATTACAAATATAGGGACTGTTTCTTGATTGATATGAGAAATGTTTTTTATTATATAAGTATAAAATTTTAGGTTCATGCCTATGCGCCATGTTTTTGTTTAGAAAAGGGCTGCTTAAAACTATTTTGATTGGGACTGTGAGTCAATTTTTTTTCTGGACATTTTTTAAGACAATAAAGATTCTTTTACAATTATAGGGACTGTTTGTTGAATCATATGAGGAATGTATTGCATTATATATGTATATATGTAATATGTATATGTGTATATATAATATGTGTATATATATATGTATATATATGTATATATATGTGTATATATATGTATATATATGTGTATATATATATATGTGTATATATAATATGTATATATGTATATATGTATATATGTAAGTTCAAATTTAATGCCTAACTGCCATGTTTAGATTTAGAAAAGAGCTGCTTAAATCTTTTGAACTTTTTAATTTAAAAAGGACCTGTTGATAATTTTTTTTTCTTTCTAATTTTTAGAATTTGTTAATCTATTGGAAGTTATTAATGTAAGGAAATGGTTCGATATCAGCTAAAATGGTTACTTTTATTTTTATTGGCTTGAACTTTTTGTTAAATGCTGTATTATATTTATAGTTAAAAATTAAATTTATTTTTTTGTTTTTTAAGTATAACTTATTACTATTAGTTAATACCATGAATAAGTAAATATTGTTTAATGTTCTATGAAGCAAAATAGCTAACTATTAGGCAATTATATTAATTATATTCAAAATATGAGGTAATATAACAGATTTCTATTTTTTACATAAATAAACTTTTTTTTTAATAATTTTTTTGTATAAAATGAAACCAACCCTCTGCATTAGGAAATATGAGGTCTGCATTACTTCGCCTACCACATACATTTTTTGGTTAGCTATGCCCTAATGCTGAACCAAATCTGTTGGCTAGATGCAACTGATTATGTTATAGTAAATGATCGATTTCAGTGTATATATCCTGAGTTATTGTTTCAGTAGTATTTATGCTTGTTAATTATATATATGGATCGTTTTGCGCTAAGTCTAAAGATTGTTTTGCAATAAATAAGAACTGCATTGCCCTTAGGACATTTTCAAATGTTTAAAATTAGGTTTTACTTCTGATTGGGACTGTGAGTCAGTTTTTTTCTGAGACTGATTTAGGACAATATTTATTCTTTTACCTTTATAGGGACTGTTTGTTGATTGATTTAAGGAATATATTGTATTATATAAGTATAAAATTTAAGTCTAATACCCAAGCGCCATGTTTAAGTTTAGAAAAGGGCTGCTTAACACTTTTAACTTTTATGATTGAGGAAAGAACTGTAAATAATTTTTTTTGTTTTTAATTTCTGGAATTTGTTTATCTTATAAACGTTATTGATTTTCAAAAATGGTTCGATATCTGCTAATAACTTTCACTTTATTTTTTTATTGGGTTGAACCTTTTATTTAGTGCTGTATTAAATTCATAGTTGAATATTTTTATTTATTTTTGGTATATATATAAATTTTATATATAAGTTTAAATAATAAATTCATTATATATATATATATATATATATATATATATATTTTTTTTCAAGATTTTTTTGCGCTAAGTGTAAGGAGTCTTTTGCGATAAAGAAATACTAAATTGCCCTTAGGATTATTATAAATGTGGGTTTTTCTTCTGATTGGGAATGTGAGTCAATTTTTTTTCTGGACCTTTTTTAAGACAATGAAGATTCTTTTACAATTATAGGGACTGTTTGTTGATTGATATGAGGAATGTATTGCTTTATATAAGTATGTCTGAGTGCCATGTTTAGATTTAGAAAAGAGCTGCTTAAATCTTTTGAACTTTATAATTAAGAAATGACCAGTTAATCGTTTTTTTTTCTTTTTACTTTTTAGAGTTTTTTAATCTTTTATAAGTTATTAATGTAAGAAAATGGTTCGATATCAGCTAAATTGGTTACTTTTATTTTTATTGGCTTGAACTTTTTATTAAGTGCTGTATTATATTTATAGTTAAATATTAAATTTATTATTTTAGTTTTATAAGTATAACTTATTACTATTAGTTAATACTATGAATTAATCTATTATTCTTTAATGTTCTATGAAGCAAAATAGCTTACTATTAGGCAATTATGTTAATTATATTCAAAATATGAGGTAATATAACCGATTTCTATTTTTTACATAATTAAGCTTTTTTTTTAATTATTTTTTTGTATTCAATGGAACCAAATCTCTGCATTAGGAAATATGAGGTCTGCATTACTTTGCCTACCACATACATTTTAAGGTTATCTATGCCCTAATGCTGAACCAAATCTGTTGGCTAGATGCAATTGATTATGTTATAGTAGTTGATTGTTTTCAGTGTATATATATCCTGAGTTATTGTTTCAGTAGTATTTATGTTTTGAAATTATATATATGGATTGTTTTGCGCTAAGTCTAAAGATTGTTTTGCAATAAATGAGAACTGAATTGCCCCTAGGATATTTTTGAAATGTCAGAAGGGCAATTACTAATTTAAATAATAAATTCATTTTATATTTATATATATTTATATATGTTTTTTTTTTTTCAAGATTATTTTGCGCTAAGTGTAAGGATTCTTTTGCGATAAATAAATACTGCCTTTGGGATTATTATAAATGTGGGTTTTTATTTTCATTGGGACTGTGAGTCAGTTTCTTTTCTAGTCTGTTTTTAAGACAATGAAGATTCTTTTACAGTTATAGGGACTGTTTGTTGATTGATATGAGGAATGTATTGTATTATATAAGTATAAAATTTAATGGTTATGTCCATGCGCCATGTTTTAGTTTAGAATAGGGCTGCTTAAAACTTTTTAACTTTATGATTGAGAAAAGATCTGTAAATAATTTTTTTTGTTTTTAATTTCTGGAATTTGTTTATCTTATAGAAATAATTGATTTAAAAAAATGGTTCGATATCTGCTAATAACTTTTACTTTATTTTTTTATTGGGTTGAACTTTTTATTTAGTGCTGTATTAAATTCATAGTTGAATATTTTAATTTATTTTTGGTATATATATAAATTTTATATATAAGTTTAAATAATAAATTCATTTTATATATATATATATTTTTTTTTTTTTAAGATTATTTTGGGCTAAGTGTAAGGATTCTTTTGCGATAAATAAATACTAAATTGCCCTTGGGATTATTATAACTGTGGGTTTTTATTTTGATTGGGACTGTGAGTCAAGTTTTTTTCTAGACTTTTTTTAAGACAATAAAGCTTATTTTACAATTATAGGGACTGTTTGTTAATTGATATGAGGAATGTATTGTATTTTATAAGTATAAAATTTAAGGCTCATGTCTATGCGCCATGTTTTTGTTTAGAAATGGGCTGCTTAAAACTTTTTAACTTTATGATTGAGAAAAGAACTTTAAATAATTTTTTTTTGTTTTTATTTTCTAGAATTTGTTCATCTTATAGAATTTATTGATATTAAAAAATGGTCTGATTTCTGCTAAAAACTTTTACTTTTTTTTTTTATTTTGTTAAACTTTTTATTTAGTGTTGTATTAAATTCATATTTGATTATTTTCATTTATTTTTGGTATATATTTAAATTTTATATATTAAGTTAAATAATAACTTTATTTGATTTAATATATATATATATATATTTTTTTTTCAGTATTATTTTGTGCTAAGTGTAAGGTTTTTTTTGCGATAAATACTTACTGAAATGCCCTTGGGAATACTTTAAATGTTTTAAATTGGGTTTTTAATCTGATTTGGACTATGAGTCAATTTTTTTTTGGGACCTTTTTCAAGAATATGAAGATTCTTTTACAATTATAGGGACTGTTTGTTAATTGATATGAGGTCTGTATTGCATTATATAAGTATGACTAAGTGCCATGTTTAGATTTAGAAAAGAGCTGCTTAAATCTTTTGATTTTTATAATTGAGAAAGGACCTGTTAAAAGTTTTTTTTTTCTTTTCAATTTTTAGAGTTTTTTAATCTTTTATAAGTTGTTGATGTAAGAAAATGGTTCGATATTAGCTAAAATGGATACTTTTATTTTTATTGGTTTGAACTTTTTATTAAGTGCTGTATTATATTTATAGCTAAATATTAAATTTATTTTTTAGTTTTATAAGTATAACTTATTAATATCAATTAATAGTATGAATTAGTCTATTATTGTTAAATAGTCTATGAAGCAAAGTAGCTTACTATTGGGCAATTGTATTAGTTATATTCAAAATAGAAGGTATTATAACTAATTTCTATATTTTACATATGTTAGCTTTTTTTTAAGTAATTTTTCTGTATAAAATATAAACAGCCCTCTGCATTAGGAAATATTAAGTCTGCAATACTTTGCCTACCACATACATTTTGAGGTTAGCTATGCCCTAATGCTGAACCAAGTCTGTTGACTAGAAGCAACTGATTATGTTAAAACAAATTTTTTTTTTCAGTGTATATCTCCAGAGTTATTGTTTCAGTAGTATTTATGCTTGTTAATTATATATATGGATTGTTTTGCGCAAAGTCTAATGTTTGTTTTGCAATAAATAAGAACTGAATTGCCCTTAGGACATTTTTGAACGTTTGAAAGTTAGGTTTTTCTTCTAATTGGGACTGTGAGTCAGTTTTTTTCTAAGACTGATTTAGGACAATAAATAATCTTTTACATTTATAGGGACTGATTGTTGATTGATTTGAGGAATGTATTGTATTATATAAGTATAAATTTAAGGCTATTGCCCAAGCACCATTTTTTAGTTTAGAAAAGGGCTGCTTAAAACTTTTAAACTATATGATCGAAGAAAGAACTGTAAATAATTTTTTTTGTTTTAATTCTCTAAAATTTGTTCATCTTATTGAAATTATTGATTTTAAAAAATGGTTCGATATCTGCTAAAAACTTTTACTTTGTTTTTTATTGTGTTGAACTTTTTATTTAGTGCTGTATTAAATTTATAGTTGAATATTTTTATTTCTTTTTAATGAAGCTTATATTACAAATATAGGGACTGTTTCTTGATTGATATGAGAAATGTTTTTTATTATATAAGTATAAAATTTTAGGTTCATGCCTATGCGCCATGTTTTTGTTTAGAAAAGGGCTGCTTAAAACTATTTTGATTGGGACTGTGAGTCAATTTTTTTTCTGGACATTTTTTAAGACAATAAAGATTCTTTTACAATTATAGGGACTGTTTGTTGAATCATATGAGGAATGTATTGCATTATATATGTATATATGTAATATGTATATGTGTATATATAATATGTGTATATATATATGTATATATATGTATATATATGTGTATATATATGTATATATATGTGTATATATATATATGTGTATATATAATATGTATATATGTATATATGTATATATGTAAGTTCAAATTTAATGCCTAACTGCCATGTTTAGATTTAGAAAAGAGCTGCTTAAATCTTTTGAACTTTTTAATTTAAAAAGGACCTGTTGATAATTTTTTTTTCTTTCTAATTTTTAGAATTTGTTAATCTATTGGAAGTTATTAATGTAAGGAAATGGTTCGATATCAGCTAAAATGGTTACTTTTATTTTTATTGGCTTGAACTTTTTGTTAAATGCTGTATTATATTTATAGTTAAAAATTAAATTTATTTTTTTGTTTTTTAAGTATAACTTATTACTATTAGTTAATACCATGAATAAGTAAATATTGTTTAATGTTCTATGAAGCAAAATAGCTAACTATTAGGCAATTATATTAATTATATTCAAAATATGAGGTAATATAACAGATTTCTATTTTTTACATAAATAAACTTTTTTTTTAATAATTTTTTTGTATAAAATGAAACCAACCCTCTGCATTAGGAAATATGAGGTCTGCATTACTTCGCCTACCACATACATTTTTTGGTTAGCTATGCCCTAATGCTGAACCAAATCTGTTGGCTAGATGCAACTGATTATGTTATAGTAAATGATCGATTTCAGTGTATATATCCTGAGTTATTGTTTCAGTAGTATTTATGCTTGTTAATTATATATATGGATCGTTTTGCGCTAAGTCTAAAGATTGTTTTGCAATAAATAAGAACTGCATTGCCCTTAGGACATTTTCAAATGTTTAAAATTAGGTTTTACTTCTGATTGGGACTGTGAGTCAGTTTTTTTCTGAGACTGATTTAGGACAATATTTATTCTTTTACCTTTATAGGGACTGTTTGTTGATTGATTTAAGGAATATATTGTATTATATAAGTATAAAATTTAAGTCTAATACCCAAGCGCCATGTTTAAGTTTAGAAAAGGGCTGCTTAACACTTTTAACTTTTATGATTGAGGAAAGAACTGTAAATAATTTTTTTTGTTTTTAATTTCTGGAATTTGTTTATCTTATAAACGTTATTGATTTTCAAAAATGGTTCGATATCTGCTAATAACTTTCACTTTATTTTTTTATTGGGTTGAACCTTTTATTTAGTGCTGTATTAAATTCATAGTTGAATATTTTTATTTATTTTTGGTATATATATAAATTTTATATATAAGTTTAAATAATAAATTCATTATATATATATATATATATATATATATATATATATATTTTTTTTCAAGATTTTTTTGCGCTAAGTGTAAGGAGTCTTTTGCGATAAAGAAATACTAAATTGCCCTTAGGATTATTATAAATGTGGGTTTTTCTTCTGATTGGGAATGTGAGTCAATTTTTTTTCTGGACCTTTTTTAAGACAATGAAGATTCTTTTACAATTATAGGGACTGTTTGTTGATTGATATGAGGAATGTATTGCTTTATATAAGTATGTCTGAGTGCCATGTTTAGATTTAGAAAAGAGCTGCTTAAATCTTTTGAACTTTATAATTAAGAAATGACCAGTTAATCGTTTTTTTTTCTTTTTACTTTTTAGAGTTTTTTAATCTTTTATAAGTTATTAATGTAAGAAAATGGTTCGATATCAGCTAAATTGGTTACTTTTATTTTTATTGGCTTGAACTTTTTATTAAGTGCTGTATTATATTTATAGTTAAATATTAAATTTATTATTTTAGTTTTATAAGTATAACTTATTACTATTAGTTAATACTATGAATTAATCTATTATTCTTTAATGTTCTATGAAGCAAAATAGCTTACTATTAGGCAATTATGTTAATTATATTCAAAATATGAGGTAATATAACCGATTTCTATTTTTTACATAATTAAGCTTTTTTTTTAATTATTTTTTTGTATTCAATGGAACCAAATCTCTGCATTAGGAAATATGAGGTCTGCATTACTTTGCCTACCACATACATTTTAAGGTTATCTATGCCCTAATGCTGAACCAAATCTGTTGGCTAGATGCAATTGATTATGTTATAGTAGTTGATTGTTTTCAGTGTATATATATCCTGAGTTATTGTTTCAGTAGTATTTATGTTTTGAAATTATATATATGGATTGTTTTGCGCTAAGTCTAAAGATTGTTTTGCAATAAATGAGAACTGAATTGCCCCTAGGATATTTTTGAAATGTCAGAAGGGCAATTACTAATTTAAATAATAAATTCATTTTATATTTATATATATTTATATATGTTTTTTTTTTTTCAAGATTATTTTGCGCTAAGTGTAAGGATTCTTTTGCGATAAATAAATACTGCCTTTGGGATTATTATAAATGTGGGTTTTTATTTTCATTGGGACTGTGAGTCAGTTTCTTTTCTAGTCTGTTTTTAAGACAATGAAGATTCTTTTACAGTTATAGGGACTGTTTGTTGATTGATATGAGGAATGTATTGTATTATATAAGTATAAAATTTAATGGTTATGTCCATGCGCCATGTTTTAGTTTAGAATAGGGCTGCTTAAAACTTTTTAACTTTATGATTGAGAAAAGATCTGTAAATAATTTTTTTTGTTTTTAATTTCTGGAATTTGTTTATCTTATAGAAATAATTGATTTAAAAAAATGGTTCGATATCTGCTAATAACTTTTACTTTATTTTTTTATTGGGTTGAACTTTTTATTTAGTGCTGTATTAAATTCATAGTTGAATATTTTAATTTATTTTTGGTATATATATAAATTTTATATATAAGTTTAAATAATAAATTCATTTTATATATATATATATTTTTTTTTTTTTAAGATTATTTTGGGCTAAGTGTAAGGATTCTTTTGCGATAAATAAATACTAAATTGCCCTTGGGATTATTATAACTGTGGGTTTTTATTTTGATTGGGACTGTGAGTCAAGTTTTTTTCTAGACTTTTTTTAAGACAATAAAGCTTATTTTACAATTATAGGGACTGTTTGTTAATTGATATGAGGAATGTATTGTATTTTATAAGTATAAAATTTAAGGCTCATGTCTATGCGCCATGTTTTTGTTTAGAAATGGGCTGCTTAAAACTTTTTAACTTTATGATTGAGAAAAGAACTTTAAATAATTTTTTTTTGTTTTTATTTTCTAGAATTTGTTCATCTTATAGAATTTATTGATATTAAAAAATGGTCTGATTTCTGCTAAAAACTTTTACTTTTTTTTTTTATTTTGTTAAACTTTTTATTTAGTGTTGTATTAAATTCATATTTGATTATTTTCATTTATTTTTGGTATATATTTAAATTTTATATATTAAGTTAAATAATAACTTTATTTGATTTAATATATATATATATATATATTTTTTTTTTCAGTATTATTTTGTGCTAAGTGTAAGGTTTTTTTTGCGATAAATACTTACTGAAATGCCCTTGGGAATACTTTAAATGTTTTAAATTGGGTTTTTAATCTGATTTGGACTATGAGTCAATTTTTTTTTGGGACCTTTTTCAAGAATATGAAGATTCTTTTACAATTATAGGGACTGTTTGTTAATTGATATGAGGTCTGTATTGCATTATATAAGTATGACTAAGTGCCATGTTTAGATTTAGAAAAGAGCTGCTTAAATCTTTTGATTTTTATAATTGAGAAAGGACCTGTTAAAAGTTTTTTTTTTCTTTTCAATTTTTAGAGTTTTTTAATCTTTTATAAGTTGTTGATGTAAGAAAATGGTTCGATATTAGCTAAAATGGATACTTTTATTTTTATTGGTTTGAACTTTTTATTAAGTGCTGTATTATATTTATAGCTAAATATTAAATTTATTTTTTAGTTTTATAAGTATAACTTATTAATATCAATTAATAGTATGAATTAGTCTATTATTGTTAAATAGTCTATGAAGCAAAGTAGCTTACTATTGGGCAATTGTATTAGTTATATTCAAAATAGAAGGTATTATAACTAATTTCTATATTTTACATATGTTAGCTTTTTTTTAAGTAATTTTTCTGTATAAAATATAAACAGCCCTCTGCATTAGGAAATATTAAGTCTGCAATACTTTGCCTACCACATACATTTTGAGGTTAGCTATGCCCTAATGCTGAACCAAGTCTGTTGACTAGAAGCAACTGATTATGTTATAGTAAATTTTTGTTTTCAGTGTATATCTCCAGAGTTATTGTTTCAGTAGTATTTATGCTTGTTAATTATATATATGGATTGTTTTGCGCAAAGTCTAATGTTTGTTTTGCAATAAATAAGAACTGAATTGCCCTTAGGACATTTTTGAACGTTTGAAAGTTAGGTTTTTCTTCTAATTGGGACTGTGAGTCAGTTTTTTTCTAAGACTGATTTAGGACAATAAATAATCTTTTACATTTATAGGGACTGATTGTTGATTGATTTGAGGAATGTATTGTATTATATAAGTATAAATTTAAGGCTATTGCCCAAACACCATTTTTTAGTTTAGAAAAGGGCTGCTTAAAACTTTTAAACTATATGATCGAAGAAAGAACTGTAAATAATTTTTTTTGTTTTAATTCTCTAAAATTTGTTCATCTTATTGAAATTATTGATTTTAAAAAATGGTTCGATATCTGCTAAAAACTTTTACTTTGTTTTTTATTGTGTTGAACTTTTTATTTAGTGCTGTATTAAATTTATAGTTGAATATTTTTATTTCTTTTTAATGAAGCTTATATTACAAATATAGGGACTGTTTGTTGATTGATATGAGAAATGTATTTTATTATATAAGTATAAAATTTTAGGTTCATGCCTATGCGCCTTGTTTTTGTTTAGAAAAGGGCTGCTTAAAACTATTTTGATTGGGACTGTGAGTCAATTTTTTTTCTGGACATTTTTTAAGACAATAAAGATTCTTTTACAATTATAGGGACTGTTTGTTGAATCATATGAGGAATGTATTGCATTATATATGTATATATGTAATATGTATATGTGTATATATAATATGTGTATATATATATGTATATATATGTATATATATGTGTATATATATGTATATATATGTGTATATATATATATGTGTATATATATATGTGTATATATAATATGTATATATGTATATATGTAAGTTCAAATTTAATGCCTAACTGCCATGTTTAGATTTAGAAAAGAGCTGCTTAAATCTTTTGAACTTTTTAATTTAAAAAGGACCTGTTGATAATTTTTTTTTCTTTCTAATTTTTAGAATTTGTTAATCTATTGGAAGTTATTAATGTAAGGAAATGGTTCGATATCAGCTAAAATGGTTACTTTTATTTTTATTGGCTTGAACTTTTTGTTAAATGCTGTATTATATTTATAGTTAAAAATTAAATTTATTTTTTTGTTTTTTAAGTATAACTTATTACTATTAGTTAATACCATGAATAAGTAAATATTGTTTAATGTTCTATGAAGCAAAATAGCTAACTCTTAGGCAATTATATTAATTATATTCAAAATATGAGGTAATATAACAGATTTCTATTTTTTACATAAATAAACTTTTTTTTTAATAATTTTTTTGTATAAAATGAAACCAACCCTCTGCATTAGGAAATATGAGGTCTGCATTACTTCGCCTACCACATACATTTTTTGGTTAGCTATGCCCTAATGCTGAACCAAATCTGTTGGCTAGATGCAACTGATTATGTTATAGTAAATGATCGATTTCAGTGTATATATCCTGAGTTATTGTTTCAGTAGTATTTATGCTTGTTAATTATATATATGGATCGTTTTGCGCTAAGTCTAAAGATTGTTTTGCAATAAATAAGAACTGCATTGCCCTTAGGACATTTTCAAATGTTTAAAATTAGGTTTTACTTCTGATTGGGACTGTGAGTCAGTTTTTTTCTGAGACTGATTTAGGACAATATTTATTCTTTTACCTTTATAGGGACTGTTTGTTGATTGATTTAAGGAATATATTGTATTATATAAGTATAAAATTTAAGTCTAATACCCAAGCGCCATGTTTAAGTTTAGAAAAGGGCTGCTTAACACTTTTAACTTTTATGATTGAGGAAAGAACTGTAAATAATTTTTTTTGTTTTTAATTTCTGGAATTTGTTTATCTTATAAACGTTATTGATTTTCAAAAATGGTTCGATATCTGCTAATAACTTTCACTTTATTTTTTTATTGGGTTGAACCTTTTATTTAGTGCTGTATTAAATTCATAGTTGAATATTTTTATTTATTTTTGGTATATATATAAATTTTATATATAAGTTTAAATAATAAATTCATTATATATATATATATATATATATATTTTTTTTTTCAAGATTTTTTTGCGCTAAGTGTAAGGAATCTTTTGCGATAAAGAAATACTAAATTGCCCTTAGGATTATTATAAATGTGGGTTTTTCTTCTGATTGGGAATGTGAGTCAATTTTTTTTCTGGACCTTTTTTAAGACAATGAAGATTCTTTTACAATTATAGGGACTGTTTGTTGATTGATATGAGGAATGTATTGCTTTATATAAGTATGTCTGAGTGCCATGTTTAGATTTAGAAAAGAGCTGCTTAAATCTTTTGAACTTTATAATTAAGA